TTGAAACAGAAACCCATTATTGGCAGGATTTGAACATGTGCAGAGAAACCAAAATGGATTTCAGGTCCATAGCCTTAACCACTCGGCCACAACAACTTAATTCCTTTTTTGTTGAGATATAGGAAAACACAGTGTACTTTCAGTTTTAAATTTAAAATTCTTTAAAAGATTTTTACATAACAGAAACAAAGCACTGACCGTTATCTGCAGGATTTGAACCTGCGCGGGGAAACCCCAATGGATTTCAAGTCCATCGCCTTAACCACTCGGCCACGACAACTCAATTCTTAATGTTGAAATTTAAAAAACACAGTGTACTTTCAGTTTTAAATTTAAATTTCTGTAAAAGATTTTAACATAACAGGAACAAAGCACCAACCGTTATCGGCAGGATTTGAACCTGAGTGGGGAAACCCAATGGATTTCGAGTCCATCGCCTTAACCACTTGGCCACAACAACTCAATTCTTAATGTTGAAATTTAGAAAAACACAGTGTACTTTCAGTTTTAAATATAAATTTCTGTAAAAGATTTTAACATAACAGGAACAAAGCACCGGATTTGAACCTGAGTGGGAAAACCCAATGAATTTCGAGTCCATCGCCTTAACCACTCGGCCACGACAACACATTTTTCAGTGTAAAGCTGTAAGAAAACACAGTGTGCTTCTGGTTTTTAGTTTTAAATTACACTTGAAAGTCTTTCAAAACCGCAAAAGTGACATCATTATCGCCAGGATTTGAACCTGGTTGGGTAAACCCAAAATATTGCAAGTCCATAGCCTTCAGCACTTGGCCACGAAAACACTACTTTGTGTCTTAAAAGCGCTGTGAGAAAACACAGTGTACTTTCGGATTTTGTTTTTCTTTACACTTAAATTTGAAACAGAAAACCGTTATATGCAGGATTTTAACCTGTGTGGGGACATCCTAATGGATCTTAAATACATCGCCTTAACCACTCTGCCAAATTTAAATTTTAAATTTCTTTAAAAAGATCTTCACCTAACAGACACAATCCACCTACCGTTATCAGCAGGATTTGAACCTGCACAGGGAAACAGCAATGGATTTCTAGTCCAATGCCTTAACAACTCGGCCATGACAACACATTCTTTTCATGCAAAGTTGTTTTTGGATTTCAGGTCCATAGCCTTAACCACTCGGCCACAACAACTGAATTCTTTTTTTGTTGAGATATAGGAAAACACAGTCTACTTTCAGTTTTAAATTAAAATTTCTTTAAAAGATTTTTACATAACAGAAACAAAGCACTGACCGTTATCGGCAGGATTTGAACCTGCGCGGGGAAACCCCAATGGATTTCGAGTCCATCGCCTTAACCACTCGGCCACGACAACTCAATTCTTAATGTTGAAATGTAAAAAAACACAGTGTACTTTCAGTTTTAAATTTAAATTTCTGTAAGATTTTAACATAACAGGAACAAAGCACCGACCGTTATCGGCAGGATTTGAACCTGAGTGGGGAAAACCCAATGGATTTCGAGTCCATCGCCTTAACCACTTGGCCACAACAACTCAATTCTTAATGTTGAAATTTAGAAAAACACAGTGTACTTTCAGTTTTAAATTTAAATTTCTTTAAAAGATTTTAACAGAACAGGAACAAAGCACCGGATTTGAACCTGAGTGGGAAAAACCCAATGAATTTCCATAGCCTTAACCACTCGGCCACGACAACACATTTTTCAGTGTAAAGCTGTAAGAAAACACAGTGTGCTTCTTGTTTTTAGTTTTAAATTACACTTGAAAGTCTTTCAAAACCACAAAAGTGACATCATTATCGCCAGGATTTGAACCTGGTTGGGTAAACCCAAAATATTGCAAGTCCATAGCCTTCAGCACTTGGCCACGAAAACACTACTTTGTGTCTTAAAAACGCTGTGAGAAAACACAGTGTACTTTCGGATTTTGTTTTTCTTTACACTTAAATTTTTATTTGAAACAGAAAACCGTTATATGCAGGATTTTAACCTGTGTGGGGACATCCTAATGGATCTTAAATACATCACCTTAACCACTCTGCCAAATTTAAATTTTAAATTTCTTTAAAAAGATCTTCACCTAACAGACACAATCCACCTACCGTTATCAGCAGGATTTGAACCTGCACAGGGAAACAGCAATGGATTTCTAGTCCATCGCCTTAACCACTCGGCCACGACAACTCAATTATTGATGTTGAAATTTGGAAAAACACAGTGTACTTTCAGTTTTAAATTTAAATTTCTGTAAAAGATTTTAACATAACAGGAACAAAGCACCGACCGTTATCGGCAGGATTTGAACCTGCGCGGGGTAACCCCAATGGATTTCTAGTCCATCGCCTTAACCACTCGGCCACGACAACACAACTTTGTGTTTTAAAAAAGCTTTGAGAAGACACAGTGTACTTTCAGTTTTTAGATTTAAATTACAATAAAATTTGTATTTGAAACAGAAAACCATTATTGGCAGGATTTGAACATGTGCAGAGAAACCAAAATGGATTTCAAGTCCATAGCCTTAACCACTCGGCCACAACAACTTAATTCCTTTTTTTGTTGAGATATAGGAAAACACAGTGTACTTTTAGTTTTAAATTTAAAATTCTTTAAAAGATTTTTACATAACAGAAACAAAGCACTGACCGTTATCGGCAGGATTTGAACCTGCGCGGGGAAACCCCAATGGATTTCAAGTCCATCGCC